AGGGGCTTGGTAGGCCTTCTTTAGAGCAAACAACCTACAATATTCAGCTGGCGAAAACGCCATGACAATATCTTGGCCGTAAAAGCCATTGTTGAAAAGCCCACTTTTTAATTTCTTTTTTTTTGTAAAGTATTTTCGTCAACGGCTCTTGCATTTAGTTAATATGGGCTTTCATGCCGCGATAATAAGACTGAGCCCGCTGATACAAGCGGGAGAGCAGCGGTGATGGTGAGTAGCCTCTGTGACCCCCCCTTTGAAAAATCCTGGCTATGCCCCTGGTAAGACCTGACTCCAACATGTGGCGGCTTGTTAAGTTTCCCGAGGAAATTCCCGCAATCCCAGTCTAGCGATCTTTTTCATGAACGTTATTATTTGCCAGAGCATAATATATAAGTTTCATTTATGTTCTCGGTTCCCTGTTAAAATGCGATGGAGCAGAAAACCGGTTAAATTCTATATTTTGCCTCTCTCATCCAGATTTTTTTCCAAGATCCTTGATTCAAACTCGAGAAAGTTTTTCTCGGTATCAGGAGCTTTATACAGCGATTACTGCCAAACAGGACGAAGAAGGTAAGAGGGAGGATTGTCCTTATAGTTAAATGTAAAGTTTTTTTTGATGCTGCGTTTAAGTTGACATTAAGCGCGATATCAAGAAAAGGTATCAGTATTGTTTTCTCGTCCTGTTATTAAAGTTCTTGAAGAACGATTTGAGTTTACTTTCACAAACTCCATTTCATAGTCAAGGACAAAACATAAACCGTTTACTTGCAGAAGAAGTTACTGCCGGGATGCAGAAGTTACAATTACAGGCATCAAAAAAGTCATGGCGAAGAATTAGCGACAGGCGTGAGTTGTTTTGGGCGTCTGACTAGCCCTTTTCGCGCGGCCTGGGTCCGAGTGAACTCGGCCGAGTTATAATATTCATACCGTGTAGGAGTAAGGGGATTTTTGGGGGTTTAGGGTTAGGGTTAGGGTTACCATTTCGTGTAGGTTTATGGGAGAGTTTTTTGCATATCATTTTAAAAATATAACGGTCATTTCAAGATGGCGTCTTAAACAATGGGAACAAAGAAATCCAAGATGGCGAGGAGATTAAGTCAACACACAAAAAATACACGCAACGCGAAGTAGCGATCGACACTTGAAAATTTTGGCGTATTCTTTTGTGGAGAGCTTAGGTGAGAATTAGAAGAAAAGTGAAAATATCTCGCATGTAACCTTATGTTCACCTCGGTTTCCATGTCTCTCGGTTACTAACGGTGCTACTTGAACTGAGTTTAAAAAAATAACTACCAAGCAGTTGTTTCCACTGCGGTTTACGTAAAACAGTTAGCATAGATTCTCAAGAGAAGCAAGTATGGCGGTCCTGCCAAGAAGGTTAAAAGACGTCCCCCTAAATTGGTGCTTCTCGCCACAGAATTTACCGTAGACAAGAGTTTCCATCACTTTCGATAACTGAAATTCACGTAATTTTCGGTGGAAATGTCTGCAATACATGGCGAATTGTATCCTCTGCGGTTTTTTCTAGGAAAATTGACCATTTTTCACTTTCTTCGTGGAGGGTAAAAGTTGGTAATGGAAGCAAAACATTAAAAGAACGTTCCTTGTTTGCAGAGCAAGATTAATGATTCTCTAAACGCCATCTTTTTTTCAAATAGGCTTAGTAGCCTTTCCGTTTAGCCCAGTCTTTCGACTTTATCTTTTACTTTAATGATTGGACTGGGTCTGGGAGTCTGATAGACCCAAACTACATACATACATACGTACATAGGTTAATTGACCACTCCCCATAAGGGCTTTTCAGGGCCAACACCCACCCATCCCACCCCAGGGGAGGACATCCACCACACAGTAGTCTCGTGCGTGGGAAATTAAC